TCAATTTAATTTTTATGTATGAGTTAAAAACAGCTGCTTAGTGTATTATCCCTAGTATCAAATCATACATTTCTACAATGTAATCACAAACCAACAAAAATTACAGTAATGTTCATAAATATGTTAATAATAAATATTCTGAGTTCCCTTAATAAAATATTTAAACTTGGTTTATTTTCACATTGCATATGAATCCATTTATATGCCCAAAGCACCAATAAAATGCCTTGAATTGAGGATCATCTGGTGCTTTATGCTTAGGGGAAAAGTCCTAAACATGCATCATAAAACAGGTTATTTAATAAAGTTGTAATATTTAGTTTATTAATCAAAATCAACGTTTTAAAAACCAACATAAAATGTTTATCTGGTAGGATCTCTCCTATAGGAAGCTAGAAAATCTTTGTACTCACCTCCAGATTTTCACCATCTGAAACTTCTTTTGTTTTAGATGCAGGAGGAGGGGAAGACACTGGAGGAAGAGGGCTGGTTATAATCTGGGAGCTGAAAAAGTAATAGGAGATATCACTGAGCTATAAAATATTTTGTCTGTAAGAATAGACATACATTCCTTAGCACAATTCACTCCAGTTGTGTCTGGTTAAAGCATCACTTTTTACAGTGTGCTCCAGAATTACATCACTCCAGAAAAGAGAGTTCTAGGGTCGAAGAAAATGGGTAATAACCTCTTGAAAATTTATATGTAGGTGTGCAAAGTAAAGGTATTAATGATTACTGTGGTAAAAAATAAAACAAACAGAAAAAAACATTTAATTTTAAACCAGCATTTCTCAAACATATTAGGCAACAAAACTACTCCTCACACAGCATTAGTGACCAGCATACCATAATTTTGGAAATAATGGAATACAGTTTTCATCTGGTCATAAATACAAAAATAGACTTTTCTTAATAAAACTTCCTAGGTGGCATAAATAAGAAAGAAGGTAAATAAGCAAGACTAGAGATTGAAGGTCTCCAATGTGCAGTGGAGGAGCCCTGCTAGTGCAGTCGTTAAGCACTTAGTTGTTAACCGAAAGGCTGGTGGTTCATACCCATCAGACGCTCTGTGGGAGAAGGATGTGGCAGTCTGCTTGAATAAAGATTTATAGTGTTGCAATCAGCCAACTTGATCTCACAGACATATATAGAACACTCCACTCAACAGCTGCAAAGTACACATTCTTTTCCAATGCACATAGAATGTTCTCCAGAATAGACTGAATCTTAGGCCACAAAGGAACCCTCAACAAAATCCAAAACACTGAGGTAATACAAAGTATCTTCTTTGATCACAAAGCCATCAAAATAGAAATTAACAACAGGAAGAGCAAGGAAAAAATATTAATTACACGGAAACTAAATAACACCCCGCTTACAAATCACTGGGTAAGAGAAGAAATCAAAGATGGAATCAAAAAATTCCTAGAATCAAATGAGAATGAAAACACATCAT